AGTGACTAAGTGTAATAGCACTCTAGGTAACCCTGAGACACAATAAAGTGACACCTCAGCTAGTTGTATAAACTCTCTACCGAAGAAGAAAGAATGAAAGAGACCAAGCAGCTGACAACCTGCTGAATATCTGGCTCTGGTACCGTGCTGTGACTAGATACTCCTCCTTCCCAACCACAGAGACTAGGTTAAGGCAAATGGAAGGCTACCTAGGAAGGGACTGTGATCACAGCAAAGCACCAATTAGTAGGAGAAATGCTTTGACTGAATTCCTAATGGTCATTAAAACTAACCTGGCAACAAGAAGCTGTTGACATGTCTTCCAGAACAGTGAAAGCCGCCACTTACCACTTAATGCTGTTTGTTTTGACTGCATGTATGTATTTGCACCACATAAGGGCTTAGTGCCAAGAAGGTCAGAAAAGGACACCAGATTCCCTAGAACTTGAATTACGGATGGTTGTAAACCACCGTGTGAGTGCCAGGAACGGAATCCAGGTCTTCTGCAAGAGCAACAAATGTTCTCACCCGCTGCCACCTCTCCAGTTCCCCATAGACATCCTCACCCCCAATGAACAAATACCTTAAATTGAAGAAGTCACTCAGGAACTTAAAATTTAGTCTAGGAACATAATACATTTCATAAAATGTCATAATTTTACTGTTGTCATGAAAATCTTATCACTTTTAGTCTACATAATTTTTTGTTTGGTTGTTAGGTTTGGGTTTGGGGGGTATTTGCTTGTTGTTGTTGTTTGAGAGAATCTCTCCACATATCTCTGCCTGTTCTGGAACATGCTATATAAACGAGGCCAGGAGCCTTCCGCCTCTGCCTTCCAAGGGCTAAGATAAAAGACATGAGGCGCCACACCTGGATCCAGACTATATAACTTTCAATAACTGAATAAGATGACCCAAAGTATTGCAAATGAAATCATAAAAAAATAATAACTTTCCAAAGCTCCCTTTAAAATGCTAAGGGAGAACCTGCAGGATAGCTTAGCAAGTCCAGGTCCCTGCTGGGCAAGCCTGATGCCTGAGTCATCAACAGATAAGAAGAGAACCAATTCTCAAAGGTTCTCTTCTAACCTCCATGGACACACACACACACACACACACACACACACACACCCCAAAAGTCAAAGAAGTTTTTAAACATTAAGGTTTTCTATACAATATCATCCTTCTTATGAAGACAATTGGAACTTATGAACTAAATAATCTGATAAAAACCTTTTAAACATGATCTTAAAAATGTTTAGAAAACTCATTAGTCATAGAGAAAAGAAAAATTAAAGAAATGTTAATTGGAAACATTTAAATATCTAGAATGCTACAGGTGCTTTCCTAGTTTGGGAGGACTGAAATGAATAAAACATTACCTGCCCTACAGAGCAGATAAACATCTCAATAATATGACTGCATTTTGATGATTCACTAGGAATAATCACACAGCACAACCACACACTCAAAAATGTCAATGTGGGAAAGGGTAAAGTGTTCATCAGCAGTGCCAGCTGAGAATACTTCAGTGACACCTCACAGAAGCGATTAAGATATTTGTGCTGCCTGGATTTGTCAACTTTACACACACTAGAGTCGCTAGAGAGGAGGGAGCCTCAGCTGAGAGCTGCTTCCATTAGATTGGGCTGTAGGCAAACCTGTAGGGCATTTTCTTAAATAGTGATTGATGTGGGAGGGTCCAGCCCAGTGTAATGGAACTACCCCTGGGCTGGTGGGTCCTGGGTTCCATAAGAAAACAGGCTGAAGCTGGACAGTGGTGGCACATGCCTTAAATCCCTAGCACACGGGAGGCAAAGACAGGCGGATCTCTGTGAGTTCAAGGCTAGCCTGGTCTATAGAGCAAGTTCCAGGACAGGCCCCAAAGCTACAGAGAAACCCTGACTAAAAAAAAAAAGAAAAGAAAAAGAAAAAAAAACAAAGAAACAAAGAAAGAGAAAGCATGCGCGAGCATGTGCAAGCAAGCGAGCAAGCAGACTGAGCAACCCACGGAGAACAAGTCAGGAAAGAAGCACTCTTCCACGGCCTCTGTATCAGCTCCTACCTCCCAGATTCCTCCCAGTTTGAGTTCCTGTTCTGACTTCCTTCAATGATAGATACTGATGTCGATGAGCAAGTCAAATAAACCCTTTCCTCCCCGATTTGGTCTGGTCATGGTGTTTCATCACAGCAATAGTGACCCTAACTGAGATATATACACAGCAGGAAGTGAGGCTAGGAAAATAATTTAGGAATGACTTACTATGGATTTGATGTTGTGGAACTCTGTTGTTCACACTTGAAATGGCCATTGCCATCTTGGAAATCACAGAAGTTGTGACTGTCAACTGAGATCTTCCTAGGACTGGGCTCACTCAGTTTGGCCCCATGCCAAAGCCTCAGTGCCTGCTGAGCTTCTTAGTGAGATGGTCTCTACCAGGTACATGAACACTGAGAACATCTAAGTGACCTAAACCAGCATAAAAATCAGGCTTCAAAGGTGGAAAAGTTAGTGCTGGAATGATAGCTCAGCAGTTAAGAGCACTGGTTACTCTTCCAGGGTACCCAGGTTCAATTTCCACATGGCAACTTCCATAGCTCTAGTCCCAGAGAATCTGACACTCTCTTCAAGCCTCTGAAGGTACTGATACATGCAGACATGACAAACATCCAGACACATAAAATACATTTTTAAATGAAAAAAAAAAGTTAAAAAAGTGCTAAAGCAATCAAGAAGGCCTGTCATGATGGCCACTAAAAGACACGTGTGATGGAGAAATGCTAGTTTCTAAGAGAAATGCTGATAACCAAATTGAGTACTTTATGAGCCTCTGGGAAGCTTCAGTGAAGGTATAAAGGATTAAAAAATATTAAACTTGTTCCAGGGATGGGCAATTGCTCCCAGAGTATCCTATGTACTCCCCCACCCTGGGAAGTACAAACTGCTCTCCCAGTTTGGGATCTTTCAACACCCAGGTGTAGCCAACGAGAAAGCAAAAGCTAGCAGTAGTACTGCCTGCTTAGAGTCTGTGGAGCAAGCGAAAGCACAGCTCCCGAGGCACTAAATCTAGCTCTACCTTGCCCCTGGGGAACGTAAGGTGTCAGCCTCAGTAGCCAACCTGATACACCTGGGAGGAGGGACCTCAATTAAGGAATTGCCTATATCAGACTGGCTGTGGGTATGTCTGTGGGGCATTTTCTTAATTGCTAATTGACATCAGAGGGCCCAGTTCACTGTGAGCAATGCCACCCCTGGGCAGAGGCCCTAGGTTATGGTAAGGTAAGTAGTGGAACAAGTCACAAGGAGCCAACAAGCAAGCACTTTTTTTCCAGGTTCCTACCTTCCTGTTCCCTAAATGATAGACTATACTATGTAAGATGCAATAATCCTTTTTGTCCCACGTTGCTTTTGGTCAGTGTTTTATTTCAGCAACAGAAAAGCAAACCAGGACAGGGATGAGGAGTGGGGATGCACAAGACACAGGCAGTTCATCCATGACCATGGTTAGAGGAAAATAAGTGGTATTACCTATGGAGCTGCTCTATCCAAAACTACTCTTGAGAAAACTGATGCAAGTGAGGGGATCTTTCGTGCTGCTCTGGGCCCATCTTTTCTTCCTCTTGGCTGCTGAAGACCCACTGGCACCTGCCTCACTTCAATTACATAAAGCCTGAATGTCACATAGATTTAGAAAAGAATCTTGAAAACATGGAAAAGCAACTAAAAGAGCAAAAATGAGAAAATCAATTCACATAAGGCACATGGGTCATGAACGCTGCAAAATTCTTGAGTTTTATGGCTGGGTCAGGTGCCAGTAACAAGGTAACTGAAAAATATCCTACAACTGTCTATGCCTATAAACTTTAAAACCATGGTTAAGAATTTTCATGAAGGTACCCTGCATGGATGGAAAAAAAAAGCACTTCTGGAAGTCACAAGGTTACTAAATAAAAATTCTAGTGCCAGGCTAGGAGGATCACTGAAGCTACACAAATAAAAAAGGCTACTGCTGGTGCTTTAGGTTGTATGCTAAACTAGATGTTAAGACTCTACTACTGAAAACATCAAGAACTTTGGTTGCAGGACACGGGGTATCAGGATAGGCTGCGTCCAAAGCATACTCCCGACTAGCTATAACCGGTTTGTAGTACAGACAGGTACTATAAAGGCTGCTGAAGAATTGTTGCCCAAGGTCTTACTCAGCAATGTACCCTGCAAGCTAACACCATCAGTATGCCAGGCAAGCTGTGCCCACAGATGCAGAAGTGTCATGACTGATAAAGAACACTCAACCACCTTCCAAGGCCTGCTCCACTGAAGAAACTTAGGTTTGGAACTATGAGTCAGGATAAGGACCCATGGCTGAGAGGTCATAGAGCCTATGGAGAAGCTACTGCTGTGGCTTTGCTAAATGGGTATGACGTGCCCCCATCAACCTGCCTTTCATGTTTACGACCATGAATTATGACTGCTGTTGGCCCTGGTCAAAAAAACATCTTTTTGTAGGGTCAGATTTCTGCACACTCATAACCAGTCCAAGGCTGAGGATAAGTGACACTTACCATGAATAACAGCTCAATGCTCCACCCTAAATAAGAGAAAATGACATCAAGGCTCAGGGATCACGTGGAAAAGGGGGCATAAGGAATGAGATCTAAGAGACAGAGGACAAAGTAGAATGCTGAGGAACTCTGTTCTCCAGCCACCGCCATCCTGAAGTCAGTGCGGCTGCAAAGACATTTCCTAACTGAAGGGGCGACAGTACAGGAATCTAAGACCCGCAAGCCACCCTTCTACTCTGTGAAAATATACAAACAGTCCCTGGTAGAGGGGAGTCTCTTCTTGGGGGTGCACGCTCCTCTTATAAGCAACCCCAATTAAACTTACTGGTTCGCCGAGCTAGCTGTACAATTGTGTCTTTGGTCAGTTACTGCCTCTCCACCCGAGGCGAATACAATCAGGACTGCCCGAGAATAGCACAGACAGCTGAGCGCCATGCTTTGGAACTCATCATTTATTTAGTAGCCAATTTTTTAAACATACAAGGACCAGCATCAGTGTAGGTTTTGTAAAAGATGTATGCAGCATTTTGAGAAAGAGATCAATTAGTCTAATATCACATTATCTCATGGAAAAAATGGCACAGGATTCTGAACTGTAAGAACAGAAATGAGAGACAATCTATAAAAGATTGTACAAAAAAATAACAGTAAGTTTGAGTCAAGGTTAAGACAATGGTGGTTTCTAGCTTAGGTACTAGAAAATGTTTATGACACATACAAGGTAAAGAATATATAAAAGTCAAATATGATTAGGTAAAAATTAATTTCAGAGACTTGCTAGGAAAAAAGGAGTGTTGGTGATATCAAAGAAGAAATATTTTAATTCAAAAACAAAAGCCACCAACATGCAAGACCAAGAAGGTGACACAGCAAAGAAGACTAACGTCAAGTCAACAAGTTTTAGCAGTAAGGCAGATCACCATTCATCAGGCTAAACAGGAAGTACAATGAGGATCTGCTCAGCTCAACCTACTAGGCTGGAAACACAGGCCTGTAAAGCTACGGGCCAGAAGTTCAGTTTCTGGTATCAGAATCTTGTCATACTCTCAAAAGCTACATTTACATGGACATTCATTTATTTTTATTTTATGAGTGTTTGACTGCATACATGTATATGCCCTACATGCAGGCAATGCCCAACGAGATCAGAAGAGGTCACCAGATCTCTTAACAGCAGCCAGTGGCAGGTGCTGGGAATCGAATCTTGATTCTCTGGAACAGCAACAAAGCACTCTTAAGTTCTGGGCCATCTCTCAGCCTGTTTATGTGTTCTCGTCTATGTATATTGCTCTGGAAATAAGAACAGACCAAGCTCAGTGACACACCACTTGCTTTATCACTGACGAGACCTTGAAATCTATGTCCAGAAAACACAAATACATGTTTGCTGGTTCATTTTTAAACACATCACATTTTAATTAAATGATATATTCTTTATAAGGAGAAAGACCCTCTGCATTTTCCAAAATAAAGATAAGTTTGTGTATAAAGATTTATTTTTTTTGGCATGCTTCCCACATCTGCTTAACCAAAGTGTGTTCTGTCATACCTAGTCAAGCATTTAATTTCTTGCACTATGTTATCTTGATCCAAGAACATGAAATATATTTAGGCTCCAAAAATATGTAAAAGAAAAAAAAGTTTCCTCTTTTAAAAAAAAAGTAGTTGTTTCTTTTTCTTTTTATTGTATGCATTCGTGTTTTTCCTACATCTATGTATGTGCAAAACTATTGGATTCCCCTGCAATGAAGTTAGACACTAGTGCTGGGAATTGAACCTGGATCCTCTAGAACAACCAGTGCTCTTAACTGCTGAGCCATCTCTTCAGCCCCAGCATTGTTTCTTAAAGTTAGTTGCAATGGAAAACCTAAAACCACCATCAACTAAGTTTTCAAGATATTTCCTCAAAAACCTGTCTATTTTGTACTTTGATTATCCACGCATGGCTCTTTAACACCATATTGCATTGATTATCAGGAAATAACAGTTCACTAAGTTATACAGATCTTCCAAATATGGAGACAGTTCAAGAAAATACCAGAAATTACATTCACTGATATCATTACTTGTAACATGAGGGGCTGTTTGTTTGTTGGGGGTTTCTGTCCCGCCCAGTACCCCACAGCCGGCAAGCCCAAAGAAAACCATACAAAGATCTCTATTATTTATAAAGCTGATTGGTCCATTAGGTCAGGCTTCTTACTGGCTAACTCTCACATCCTGATTAACCCATTTTTCTGATCTATGTTAGCCATGTGGCTCAGCACCTTTTTCGGTGGGGCAGCTCACATCTTGCTGCTTCAGTGATCTGGGCAGGAGTGGGAGGAATCAGCTTCCTCCTCCCCAGAATTTTCCTGCTCTCCTTGCATCATTTCCACTTCCTGTCTGGTTTTCCCACCTACACCTCCTGCCTGACCAATCAGCGTTTACTTAAAACATGATTGACAGAATACAGACAATTCCCCTGCACCAATTACCAATCTTACCAGACCCCAAAAAAAAAAAATGGAGAAAAGCAAAACATAAAAGGGATGTATACAAAAACTTCTGAATATTCAGAAGTACCAAAGCTCATTATTTTGATTATGGGTTTTCACTTGGCTTATATCACTGATAAAAAAAAACACCATCAAATTTTCTCTTGACAATGACAAACTCACTGCGTTTACTTTCAGAAAATACCTGTGAAAGACTCGCATCTGAGTAATTCTGATTGTCCAGGTCGCCTTTACAGTGAAAGCAGTCCTTCATGTAAATGACAACAGCAGCTGGACCTGCACCAAGGCAGCACAGCATCTTCCTTTGTCTCCAGCAGAGGAGCGACACATGTGCTTCCCGTTTTGTCAGACTACTGGAGCAAAGATAACAGAACTACCTGTTACCTGCTTCACAGGAGCACTCTCGGGTGGGTTTTCAGCAGATGGTGGGGAAGGGTACACTGACTACAATGGCACAATGGACACAATGTACAATAACTACAGTGTACAAGGGTACACTGCTTTGACTCACGCTGAAACGAACATTTTCACATTTCACTACACAGTTAACAGTGAGAAGAATAAACAACAGCTCAGTGCTGTTAATAAAACAGCTTGGATGTCACAGATTAACTATTATAAAATAAGAAGGCTCCTCCTTCCTCACTCTGAAAGTCATTACTAGATACAATTCCAACACTTAATCCCCTTCACAGTTTCCCTACTGAACAAGAACTTTGTGTGAGTTCTTTAACCCAAGATGAAGAGAGGATAAGCACTTGAGAATAGGTCCCTAGGAACAAGTAAAGTGCTCTTCAGGTAGTGGAGGATAAGAAACTGGGTTTCAACAGAAAATCCAGACCATTACACGGCCCTTGTTTTGCTTCTTTTATTTCTATACCAAGTGTCTATAAAAAACTGGTACCAAACCTCAAACTAACAAACAGAAAGCCACTGTGACAGATAATAGCTACACTGTAAACACTTTCACCTGATATAGGTGGTTACTATAGAATTTCTTCAAAATGTGTACTTTATAGTTCATTACTACTTTATAGAACCTGAAATAACCTTTTACCAAGAGTCAACTCCTAACCATAATACTGTGTTAGCTATAAAGTATACATATATTTTAATAGGTAATTTTATCTTTTCTGTTCACACTAAAAATATATACCTCAAATAAAGAATTTACTTTTTATTTATTTTATGAGTGTTTTGCCTGCATTTATGTCTATATATCATGTATGTGCTTGTTACTAACAGAGACCAGACGAGGCCATCAGAGCCTCTAAAACTGGACTTACAGATGGCTGTGAGCTGCCAAATGAGTTCTGAGAATGGAACCTAGGTCCTCTGGAAAAGCACCTTGTGCTCTTAATTGATGCAACACCTTTCCAGCCCTTTACTTACAAAATTATATATAGTCCAAAGTGTTCCTCACCTACAAAACACTAACAAAAGCAAAGAAACTACAATTTCCTCACTACAGGGAGTACCTATCTCAGATCTGTACAACCAAACACACTAGAGAAGCTTGGTGAAGTGTTCAAATGAGACATGAGTTACCAGACTCCTGCCCACCATAAAAACCAGCACATTTCTACTGTGACATCTTCACATCTCCCCAAAATGAGACCAAGAAGACACTTACCCTGAAATATTAAAAATTACATTACCGGGAATGCCTGAATGCCTGTAGGACTAGGATGACTGATGAACTAGCATTAAGACAACAGTTCAAAACCAAAGTAAAAAACTTTGTTACTTTTATTTCTGTCTGCTATCCAAATTAAGCAAGAAATTGTCCATTCCTACAAGGAGATATTCATCTTAATTCAATCATCCAGCAGTTAATACCTTCCTAGGCAATACTAAACACTTTCCTATTACGTTTTTTAATACTTCCTTACTACATAAGTTATGTCCAGTCACATTTTATTCTGACATACCTGATAAGTATATAACCACATTCAGCAGAATGATACAACCTACTGAAGATGGAGTCAAAGGAAATACTCATGTTACAATATAAAGCACCTCAATCAGTTGCTTAAAAAAAAATTACACATCATCTGGGTTGGGGTGGCACGCGCCTGTAATCTGGAGGCAGAGGCAGGTGGATTTCTGAGTTCAAGGCCAGCCTAGTCTATAGCGCAAGTTTCAGGACAGCCAGGGGTACACAGAAAACCCGTCTCAAAAAAAAGAAAACTACAGATATATGTATGCACACACACACACACACACACACACACACACACACACACACCTATTCCAGTACAATCTTGAAAGATCAACACCATGAACTCACCTTCTATAGTGATCTGACGTTTCAGATGGCTGAGGCTTAACCTCACACTTGGCAACTAAGACAGATTCAGTTCAGAGGCCTTCCTGACCAAGGGATCCACATACTGGAAATGGTCATACAACAAGTCTTTGGCAAGCTGCATCCCTAAGCTCTGCAGCTGCCAACTCCTGCTGTGGTCCTTGCCAGCCTTATTCTTTAAATCCCCCAACTGCTAATAAACACGTCAACTGGGAGGAATAATTTCTCCCAGCCACCAAAACTTTGGTTTTTCATCTGTGTTCTGCAGTCCTTTAAATGTTTTCCTATTGTCCTGACAAGGATATACCCTGCATGTAATCAGTATCTACTTATTAACAATGACCTGTTCTACTGCTCTACCTAAACATGGATTCCACTCTCAATTTTAGAAACAGCAGAAGGACAGGTAACAGAAAACAGAGAAATGAGAGCTCTTACAGTTTTATATAATTTATGGTCACAGTCAGAAGAGATAATGCAGAGAAAGGAAGGAGGAAGCTGAGAGGTCATAGTGCAGAACACTTACTTTTAGGAACAGAGTGTCCCTTAGACTTCTGGTGAGTTGCCCAGAGCCTCTTCAGTTTCAATCCAAATGACAATGCTTCTCTGAGTCCTCAAGTAATATTTCCACCACTAAAAATTGGATCTACAAGAGCTCAGATATACTAATAAAAAAAAAAGTGTCAGGGGCCCCAGGTAGGCCTCTGACCAACTCCCCTGTGTACTATACTCTTCTTTCAGATGCCGGGTGTTCAGCCTGTGGCTTCTCTTCTGAGTGTCAACACCTACTCTATTCCTCAGGGCTCCTCTAACCCCAAGACTGACTGTGGAGTAGGACACCAGCTCCCCCCTTCCATGCTGTCCCTGCAAATAAACAAACAGGCCCTTCTAATTCCAGCATTTTTCTAATAGTGACAAAAGAATATGGGGGACAAAAAAAAGGAGCAATATAGCGACAGAAATTAGAATTATAGTAGCTGTCTCTACGTCAAAATGCCTGCCTCCCAAAAAAGTCAAATGTTCTACATATTGCTTATTTACAAATACATAGATATATGATTATGTATGCTAAGCCATTCCCAGCCTTACAGATTTATAAAGATACACCCTGCTTTTCGAAATACTTAAAACATTAGATCAAAAATAGCAAATAGTTTCTCTTTTTAGAATCTTTTCTTTAACTTACAAGGTATTTTAAAACTTGCTTTTTAATGAACATCATGAAACGCTGAAAATGTTGTATCTAATGTAAATAAGAATTCACTGTAAAAGCCTATTGAGATTTACAGGACAGGTGTGTGAAAAAAAAGCAACTAGTATTGTGGAGACAATAAAATCCTGACATGTCTTTACACTTAAAATTGTAATAAGATTCTATGAATTGCATTCAAGACCAATAAGTCATTTTTAGAAATAACTTGGACTACTCAGAATATGTCAAAATTATATAGGGCCTCTTTTTCAAGCAACAAGAAACTTCCCAGTGTTCTTACTGTGCTAAAGTGTATTTTAATAGGCTTCGTAGTATGAAAATATAAATACTTTATCTAAATATTGCTACAAATCACAAAGATTCTAAGAAGTGAATTCAAAGGCTACTTTCCAAGTGCACACAGATGGAGAATGTCACTGACTCTGAATTTCCTAGACTTAATCTTTGTGTTTATCTTTTAAAGACAATTATGACACACAACAAATTTTGGGCTCAAAACAGGCAAAGATCACGTTAACAAAAAAAAATCGTTCGTTCTCAAGATATTCAGATATTCGGAGTAAAAAATGTGTTCCTGAGTTCGCCTCCCAACTACTAAAGTGTAAAATATTACAGAAATGGAACAAAAACAAGACGCAAAGCCTTTGCCTGACCCTTCCGGACGTCCGTCACTAAGAAAGTTTAACCTATTCCGATCCTACAACGAGACACTTTTTTCCCCCCGAGGGTCGAATGACACCGCGGCCTTTCTTCCACCCTCTGCCCCCGCTGCACACCAACAACAATGCGGCCAACGTCTCCGTGCCAGGCTGGGAGGGGGCACCGCACCGGCCGCGCACAAGAATCGCAGCCGCCGGCGACCCCCTAGCACCATTCATCCTCCGCAGCGGCCGTTGCGGGCGCTACCGCCGCCGACCCCTTCGCCGCCGCGAGTC